AGGTCTGCTAGGATCTAGAAAACGTCTATGTTAATAGTATTATCTTTGATCTCTCATCATAATCCTGTAAATTAGGAAACTTCCACTTTCAAAGACATTATATTGCATTCATAGATTGAGTGCAAATTTAAACTCATTGTACTGAACATATATATGTCTCAGCAAAATTAGGACTGCACATAAGTGCTGGGAGCTTCAAGCAATACTCCAACTTAGTACTTCTTGAATGACAGGTGATAAAACAAAAGAAACAGGTAAAGAGAAAAATAATTTGAACACAGAATGAGGGTATGCACCTGTGATTCTCTACGCACCTTAAAATCGTGATCTCAGCATTACTGTCATGCTAAATGCTAGGTGCAATGTGAGGGAAATCACCATTGACAAATCAGAGACAGGGCAGGACAGCAAGAAAACAAATAATAATGTGACTCTTTCTAAAACAGCTATCAATGTACACCAACAAAGCTAGACTCCCAACATTCACTCCTGCTCTCAGGGAAACTCGGTCATGCCTTGATAAGATTAAGATAAATTTAACTAGATTTCATTTGAAGCTGTTTTTTTTTGATTGCTGTAAATGCACAACACTGTCACTTTTTGCCTGGTACTCAAGAACATCATAAATGTAACTTAACAAAACGGCAGACAACTTTTCAAATGGAAACTTTACACATTAACAAGTGCACCGTAGAGCATTATAAAATTACAGTCCAATTCGGGCATGTAGGAAAAATTAAGAACATTTTGGATGTACTGATTTCTGAAACTAATTATGATTTAGTTCAATGCAATATTGATTTTTTTTTGGAGTCAATCATAGGTAATAACAATTTTGAAATATAAGATTACTTCAAGTGTACAGGCAAGTATTACCATAATTAATTTCTCACGATATTATCACTGGGCTGAGTTTACAAACATGTGCTCTTAGACGGAATCAGACATTATAAAATTGACCCTCATATCTTTCTATCTTTCCAGGGAGGCAATCATCAGGTATTTCTGATTTGCTAGTAATCAAGGAGCAATTTCAAAAAAATGTTATAGAAACATTATAAAAAATGTTATAGATCCAAAACAAAAACCTTCTAAGCTATGTGGAATCTTATATTGTTATGAAGTGGAGATAGGAATTAAAATCCCAGAAATTGCTAAGGCACATTTGTGGCCTTTGCTGATTCATCAACTATAAGTATCTCATCTTAATAACATTTATGAGCAAGGATTCCTTGCTTTTAGAGGCTACAAAGTGAAAATGTTACAATCCTCAGTGTGTGCTGTCTTGTTATCAATTCAACAATGAAAAAATCATTTGTTACTTACCCTCTCAAAAGTTTTCAGAATTTTGAAAATCTCTATTAATTTGACCCTATTTTTACATTTACATGCTGTGGAAACTCCTGTTGTAGAAGCGGTGAAGATGCAGACACAAAATAAGTCAGTAAGTGTTGCATTTATTAGAAGAAAACAATAATGTGGAACTGATGTAAATTTTTTTTAATCAAGTATTGAAAAAATTGATAGGTAACTTTGGATTAAATTCAAAGAGATGGTTCAAGACAAACCTCTGAAGGTCAAAGCTAAACACTTAATTTGCAGGGATAACAAAGTGTGGAACTGGAGGAACACAGCAGGCCAGGCAGCATCAGAGGAACAGGAAAGCTGATGTTTCAGGTTGGAGCCCTTACTTTCCATTTGGTGGGGGGCTGGTGAAAGCCGCAGGACAAGGTAGGTTCTGTGTCTCAGAAGGGTTGGGGTGATGATATAGGAGAGTTTGGGGGATTGATCCCAGATCATGGATAGGTTAGTTTAGTAGCCTGGGGGATTGGCTGCTATAACAAGCATCAGAGGGTCACAGGAAAGTATGGGAATGGGTGGACTGGAGCTCAAAGCCTGGGAAAGGATTCAGAGTTTGGGAGGCAGAGGGGAAGCTGAACATCTGTGAAGGGGTTTAGAGCCTTAGGAAGGGAATCAATGACCTTTTTTTGGTTAAAAATTCTACCCAATGTGTCTGCAGTTAAGAAAATAAAAATGGAACCCATTCACAGATTGCAAAAACCTCATTCTTCTACAACCTGAGAACACTCTTAACTGAAAAAGCATTGTTTTTGGTGTGGACCAAGTAAATTCTGACTTCTGAGCTGAAAGCTGAAATCAAAATTCAAAATCAGAATGGATCATGTTTTTTCTACTGTAAAACAAAACCAAAGAAAATTATGGTAGGGAAGTCAAAGATATTTCTTGGGCACTTGTTCTTCATTGTTAGAATTTCAACCTTTTTTTGTGCGTTACTTCTATCACAAATAGTGATTGTTCAAAATTTTAATCAATTTTGGACCAATGATACTGATCATCATAACCATTATTTAAACGTGATCCTAATTACCATTGGTTGGAGGTGAGTCTGAGTCCAGCCAGCGTGGGAGACGAGTTGGAGACCATGCCTGCATGGGAGGTGAGAACAGGAGGTGAGTCGTGGGCCTGAGCCTGCAGTGGGAGCTAGTCCAAGCCCAGGGCGGCCTGGGAGATGAGTCACAGGCCGGAGCCCAGAGTAGGAGGCAGTCTGAGCCTGGGCCAGCCTGTGAGACGAATCCCGGAGGTGAATCGCGGGCCGGAGCCGGAGACTGTCTGAGTCTCTGAGGTGAGTCGCAGGCTGGAGCCCGGAGCAAAAGGCATTCTGAGCCCAGGCCAGCCTGGGTGACGAATCCTGGAAGCAAGGTGTGGGACAGAGCCCGGTGCGTGGACGCAGTGAGGCTTGTGTTCTGAAGCCTGGCAGGCACAGACTCAGTGAAAAGGATTATGTTTTGAGTACCTTTAAAAGATACTTCTTATTCCTATTCTGGATTTTAAGTAATTCGAGTACTTTTTAAAACTTTGCATTCCTATGCTAGATTTTTTAAAACTCTTTCAATTTGTAAGAAACACTTAAAGTATTCTGTACCTAAGATGGTGCCAAAGTGGTGACATTACAAGCTTCTTACTGCATTCATTTGAGTGCACGTGACAATAAAGGCTACTCTATTCTATTCATCTGTAAAATAAGTCTACCTTGGGAACAACGCCTTGCAGTCTCCATGTACCAAACATGACCACCAACATTTTATACATTTGTTAGTTTTATTATGAGTGGGATAGATCTACGAGTGTACCAATCGAATTTAGACAGCGAAACTACGCTTCTAATTTATGACAACTAAGTTTCATTTTTTGTAGTTACCAATTTCACAGCCTGATGGCAACCTAATTACAATCAACCTAACATTACTCTTCTGCAATCGCTATCAGAAATCTGTAAGAGAACCATTATATTGCTACAGCATAGGTGACTGCTAGGGTTGAGGAAAGAGATTGAAAAGAATCAAACTACCTGTATTTAATTAATGCCATGCTACAGTTTTAAATGTCTTTGGATGGACTGTGGAAGGAGAAAACTGAGGGATGCAAGAAAGTCCACAATTTTAATATCAGAGAAAGGAAGGAGTAAGTGCACCTTGATTTCAAGTTTTGATATCAATATGGTGAGAAAAGAAAAAAGCATTTGCAACTATGAGAAGATTTATCTTTTATCTTTTTGGATTATATTCACTATGCTAAATTATGCAGATCAACAATTCAGTCTGGAGCATGTAATTCTAGAAAAAGGGAGCTTTCTTGTACAAAATAAGGCAATATGTAATGAAAATGAAAATGGTTCAATAAAAGTTGAGAAACCAGAAAATGTGCTTGGTACACCCTTAAAAATTCCCACATAAAATCTCACCAATTATTCCAATTGTTGCTGCTTTGTCTGTCATGTGAGATGGAAAGAATTAAGTAAGAAACGATCAGCAACTAGTAAATGGAAACACATGACACTCACTTGAATTGGGGAAAAAAGGGGCATGTGAGAAATCATTTACTAGTTGCAAATAGCACATATAAACACTGGAAACCAATCATGACTTGAACAGGAGCCACAAGGTGGAGGGAACAGAAGTGTGTGCATGTGCCACTGTATTTCACAAAGCAAAAGTACTTGCATATTTTTAATGCACTGGTTTTCCTCTGTGTGTTGTCAAGACATTTGCCAAGGCTCATGCCAGACTCCATGCGCTCAAAAGCACCGAAGTACTTTAGATATAATTAGGACAACAAAAAGTCTCAAAAGTGAGTCTAAATGGATTTTAATCATGTACAACATATGTTGTTGACACTGATTAGTGATGTGAGTTTTACAGAAGATTCAATTTCTCTGGTGTGAATTTTTGCTTGACAAAATTTCAACTTTAATTCTAACAGATAATCACAATCAATTTTAGAAAAACTAAACTATTACAAAATAACTTGCAGCCATGATAAAAATGAAATTATCCTTGGAAAAACAAGCTGATTATTGTTACGGTAAAACCAATGAGTTTCTGTTAATCACTTGCCCAAAAATGTTCTGATTGAATTTGATTTGACTTTTGTTATTAGGAAATAAGATGATCTGTTCTAGCATGGCTTATGATTACATTTATATCCAGAATATGGATTCAGTGGGGTTCTTGGAGGAACTCATGAACGCCTCATCTTTCCATGAGGGCACAGATTTGTGCTAACAGATGAAATGACCGCAATCCGGCTTTACTGTGGGTGAACCAAATAGGTCTAGTTCAGACAAGTGCAGTTCCAACTAGATCAAAGGGCGCCAATCTAGGTTTTACTGGTCGAGTAAATTTAGACAATCTTTGCTGCTCAACTGTAGGCTGAGAGAATCATATGACAATATCCTAACGTACATACTGATGAATATAAATGTAACAGGCCTGTTGATTTTTACAACTGTAAGAGATATTCCCATCTTGTGGCGCAGTTTTACAGCCCTTCACATTGCCGTGTTAAATTATTCAAATTGAATCCAGGTCTGTTGCATTAACACATCAGCAAGAGAAAGGCTGAGAGAAATGATACAAGTACTCCGTAAGTCCTAATAATTCACTGTGCAGTTCCTACTTAGATACCAAAATGTTGCTCACCTGTTCCGGGGAGAGTTTATGGTTCATCGGGTCTGAATGCGCTGAGGATTTCAGGTGGTCCTCCTCATAATTATCTGCCATTAATTTCATTCTGTTCTGAGTCTGTGAAAAGGAAACAAAAATATTCAAATCCATTTGATTATCCACCTACACTGACAAACAGTAGTACTTTTTTAAAGTAAATTATTAAGAGAATTTTCCTTTTAACATTTTCAGTCAGATGTGCTCTTTGGGGTTGGGAGGGGTGGAAGGTGGTAAATAACTGTTAATCATGCCCTTTTTTATTCCAAGTGTTATTAAGAAAACTTCAAGATATATGTATACCTGTGTGTGTACACACAGAACAGGCTCCACACAGTGTTTAAGTTGGAACTTTCGAACATGGTTACATTGCATTCATATTGAAACACCTTAATGTAGCTTTGTCACTTTTCAAAATCCCCATGTTTTTCTCCTCGTCTTTGATACATGCAGGTCTCATCAGGCTCTTCCACACAAAGGGATTTTGAATTGGGTGTGCACTAGATCGGTACTGAGAAGGGAGATCATAGTACCCAGCTGAGACAGTTTGCAAGATGCCTGAACAATTCTGATGGTAGAACTTCACTTGCACAGAAGCAGAAAAATGCTAGCACAAACCGAGCATTGACAAGTTCTGAGACTGTGCAAAACAAAATAGCTCAATGACTTAATTCTTGTATTACTGCAATGTAGCTTAATGTATATTTGTGAAACAGCACTTCATCTTTTGACTAGGCACTTGATAACTTTGCTGTCAATGCTGAGTTCAACAATGTCAGTTCATAACCTTAGCCCTCACTTTTTCAGATAGCAGCTGCTGGTGATAATTCTGCTTTCCCATTTACATCTCCTTTAGATCCATTTTGTTTTTACTTGTCTTATTAACAACAACTTCTGTGTTGCACATGATTACTTTTGTCATTTAAGCTCTCCTGTTTCTGCATTTACTTACAACTAACACAGAAACAGAAATTAGGAGCATGAGTAGGTCATTTGGTCCTTCAGTCTCTGACATTCAATATGATCGCAGCTGATTATCCAACTCAGCACCCTGTCCCCATTTTCTCCCCATAATTATGATCTCTTTATCTTCAAGACCTATACATAACTCCTTCTTGAAAACATTCAATGTTTTCCTCTCAACTGCTTTCTATGGTAGAGAATTCCACAAGCTCACCACTCTCTTGGTGAAGACATTTCTCCTTGTCTCAGTCCTACATTGTCTACTCTGTATCCTTAAACAGTGATTCCTGGTTCTGGACTCCCTAGTCATTGGAAACATCATTCCTGCATTTACCTTGTCTCCTCCTGTTTGAATTTTACAGGGTTCTATGAGATCTCCCCTCATTCTTCTAAACTCCAGTGAATACAGTCCTAACTGAACCAGGGTCTCTTCATATGCCGGTCCTGCCATCTCAGGAATCAGTCTATAAACCTTTGTTGCATTCCCTCCATGGCCAGAATACCTTTCCTCAGATAAGGAGACCACACTGCACACAATACTCCAGATGTGATCTCATCAAGGCTCTGAACAATTGCAGCAGACGTCCCTCCTCCTGTACTTCAATTCTCTTGCTATGAAGGCCAACGTACCATTTGCCTTCTTCATTGCCTGTTGCACCTACATGCTTACTTTCAGCAACTGGTGTACAAGGGTACTTATGTATCAATGCAGGTCCTCTTTTTTAATCTATCATCATTCAGATAATAATGCGTCTTCCTGCTTTTGCTATCAAAGTAGATGACCTCCCATTTATCAATATCATACCTCATCTGTCATGCACTCGTACATATACTCAACTTGTCTAAATCATACTGAAGCATCTTTGCATCTGCCTCACCCAATTCACCCTCTCAACTAGCTTTTTGTGTTGTCTGCAAACTTGGAGATATTACGTTTAATTCCCTTGTCTAAATCAATTATATATATTGTGAACAGCTATGCCTAAACACAGGTCCCTGTGGTACCTCAATATTCACTGCCTGACAACCAGGAAAAGAACCATTTGTGCCTATGTTTTGTTCTCTGACAGCCAGCCAGTCCTCTATCCATGTTAGTACACTACCCCAATCCCATAAACTCTAATTTTATATGCTAATCTCTTATGTGGGACCTAACGAAAAAATTTCTGAAATCCAAGTGAACCACATCCACTGGCTCCCCCATATCAATTCTACTAGTTACATCCATGAAAAGTTCCAGTCGATTTCTCAAGCATGATTTCCATTTTGTAAATCCATGCTGATTCTGTCCAATCCTGAGACTGTTTTCTAAGTGCTCTGTTATTAAGTCTTTCAAAATGGACTCTAGCGTTTTCCCCACTTTCGATGTCAGGAGAATTGGTCTACAATTCAGTACTTTTCTCTGTAATTCCCTCTTTTAAAAACTGTAGTTGGGTTACATTATCTACCCTCCAATTGATAGTAACCATTCCAGAGTCTATAGAGTCTTGAAAGATGACCACCAATGCATCCACTATTTCTAAGGCCACTTAAATAAACCGGAATGTAGACTATTGGGCACTAGGGAATTACCGACCTTAATCCTTTCAATTTTCCCACCATCATTTCCCTACTAATACTGATTTCCTTCAGTTCTTCCCTCTCACTAGACTCTGTGTTACACAATACCTTTGCGGTGTTATTGGTCTCCTCCTTTGTGAGACAGAACCAAAATACGTATTTAATTGGTGCGCCATCTTTTTGTTCCCATTATAACTTACCATTTCTGACTGTAAGGCCACTACATTTGTGTTCACTAATCTTCTTCCCTTCAAATACCTATAGAAGCAGTTACAGTCGATTTGTATGTTCCCGGCAAACTTTCTCCCATATTCTATTTTCCCCCTCTTAATCAATCCCTTAGTCATCATTTGCTGAAATCTAAACTTCTCCCAATCCTCAGGTCTGCTACTTTCTTTGGCCAATTTGCATTTTCCTTCCTTCAGTCTAATACTATCCCTAAATTCCCACATTAGCCATGGTCGGGCCACCTTTCCAGTTTTATTTTTGTGCCTACAGTAACGATCAAAGTTGCAGTTCTTCTTTTATAATCTTTACATGATTTCCGTTGCCTATCCACTGTCATCTCTTGAAATAAAGTTCCCCAATTTATCATAGCCAGCTCACATCTTATACCATTGTAGTTCCCTTTATTTAGATTTACGACACTACTCTCAGAATCAACAGTGTCACTCTCTATCTTAATAAAGAATTCTATCATATTAGGGTCACTCTGCCCAGGGGCCAATTGTTCCTTTCTCCTTACACAATACTCAGTCTAGGATGGCCTGTTCTCTAGTTGATCTGTCCACAAATTGATCCAGAAAACTGTCCCGTAAAGACTCCAGGAATTCCTCCTCTATGGCCATCTAACTTTTCAGGACATAATTTTAAAAAATTATTGCCCTGAAACATTGGGCTGGATTTTCCAAGGTGGTTCATGATCTTGACCACGGCCTTGATTCTAGGTTGGAAATAGTTGGAGCTGGATCTCTGCCAATTTAGAAGTGCACATGGTGGGTTTAAAGGCTTCTTTCCACTGTAACATGTGTGAGTTTCTGTGGGAGCCCTACCTAGTTATAGCACAGGGGAGGGCATACTACTGAAAGAAAACTACCAGAACCATCACAAAATGGCCTGAAAGAGAACACCAACTGTTCCATTGGTCTGCCTCTTTGAAGCAGGCAGCCAAACCCGATTCCTGCCTGCTCTGGGAAAGTCTCCCAGAGGCAGGAATATGTCAGGGGTCTGTGCAATTGCAATTACTCTAAATTTCCTCCACTCCTTCCCTGACCAGCCTCTAAACCTGTCTCCACAGGGACAAGAAACATCAACTCGTTAACTCCATTTTTCTCTCTCCATAAATACAGTGTGACCTACAGAGTTATTTTTCATCTTTTAAATAGTAACATTAACCAGTCTGGCCCATATGCTTTGTATGTTCCAAGTTGGTTATTAAGTTCACTTGTAACAGCCTGTTCATGAATTCATTCACACACACCTTGAAGTCATTACGAAAGATCAACTGCACATAACATAAATTTTAAAAAAAATTACAATCTCTTAATTACTGTTATTGCTGAAGAAGGGAGTTTGTGTATACAGGTAAATCCACAACTCTGCAGTCTTAATACTAGTGAAGCTCAATTCGGGAACATTTTTCTACCTTAAATTACCATAATGTCCTGATATTGTGGTCCTTTTGGGTGCCATGGAACAAAGTCCAGGGGTGTGTTTACCTACTACAGAATGCAGTTTAAACTCTGGGTGGAAACAGACACCAGTTTCCAGTTCTGGATTTTAAAACAAAAATGTATCGTCACACTTTGCATTCTTTAAGAACATATACTGCTATTTTATTTGCAGAGTGCAATAACTAACAGAGATGGATTTTCTGCTAATGGACGTTAACTTCTTATGGATTGGGAAATAGACACAAAAGATGGAATTAACAGTTCTGAGGAAGGGTCTGTGGACCTGAAACGTTAACTCTGTTTTCTCCTTCACAGATGCTGCCAGACCTGCTGAGCTTTTCCAGCAACTTTGTTTTTGTTCCTGATTTACAGCATCCACAGTTCTTTTGGTTTTTATTTTGTGTTTAATGTGTGCACATTTACATAGCACAGTTTGCCCCATTCAGTGATCTGACTCTCCACAATAACTATAATGTAATTGCATATTTATAAATCAAATAGGCTGAGTTGTAGTTTCAATGCCCTGATTCTGATGGTGGGCTGATGTCTGGCCATGAGGGGTGGCCATGGCAGGACTCTGAAAGTGATTTTTAAGGAAGGGATCATTTAAAAGCCAGGCAATGTTGCAGTGGTTGGCTAGTATAGCTGTGGGTTATTCAGGCAACAGCACCTTGGGTGCAAGAGCGACCATTGCTACCAGGAGCATCCTGCTTAGGCCATGGAATGCACATTAAAATGCAGCGGAACTCCCCAAGGAAGCTATTGGGAGGCCACCGGATGTCCTGCTTTCTCAAATAGGAGCTGGAAAAATGCCAGCAGGTTTGGAAGTATACTTTATCAGGCCTCACACGCTTAATGTGTCTGCCACAGCAATGGGAAAATGTT